AATTACTGCAATAATGATACTAATAATGGTGATAGAAATGAAACAATAATGATGATAATAATAATGACGATGGTAGTAGTAATGATAATAATAATGATGATAATAGTAGTAATGATAATAATAATAATGATAATAATAAAAATGATAATAATGATAATAACAATGCTAATCATGATGGTAATAATATTGTAATTAACAGTGATAATAATAAATATGATAATAAAGGTAATAATAATAATGCTAATTATGATGATAAAATTAATAACAATAATAAGGATAATAATAATAAGAAGAAGTAGAAGAAAAAGAAGAAGAAGAAGAAGAATGACAGTAACAATAATAAAATAATAAGGATGATAATATCAGTGATAAAAATAATGTTAACGTTAATAGTAATTATAATATTTGTAATAACAATGATTTTAAAAAGGATAAGGGTGATAGTAGTAGTAATGATGGTAATAACAATGATCGTAATATTAATGATGATAATGATAATGATAAGAAAAATAACGATAACGATAATGATTATAATGATAATAACTTCGATAATGAAAATAGTAATAATAACAATGATAATGATGATTATAATAATAATAATAATGATGATGATGATTATAATAATAATAATAATAATAATAATGATAATAATAATAATAATAATAATAATAATAATAATAATAATGATAATGATACTATCAATAATGATAATAATAATAATAATAATAATAATAATAATAATAATAATAATAATAATAATAATAATAATAGCAATAATAGTATTTATAATAACAATAGTAATAGTAATGATAATGATAATTATAATATTGATAATAAATAATAATGGTAATAATAATGATGATAATAGTGATAGAGACTATGATGATGATCATGATGATAATGATATTAAAAAAATTAAATGATAATAATAATAATAAGAAGAAGAAGTGATAATAATAATGGTAATGATAATAATAATAATGATTATCATATCAAATTAGAAAAAAAAGAAGGAAAACAAAATCAAATTTAAAACACCAACAAAAAAGAACATATCTGAAGTTTTAGAAAAAAAAAAAAATCTGATAAAAAAATAAAAAATAAAAATAATGAAAATAAAAATAAAAATATTGCAGGATAAAATCGTAGCGCATAACACACTAACATAATTCGTAGCTGAAGACCACCGCGCCAGATGGCAGATTTGGAACAATTTACCGCCTTTTGAATTCTTTAATATTAACAGGTGTATTGGAGAGCAGATGGTGGGCCCGATATATTAAATTATCGTGAAGGAGTTTCATTGCACCGGAAGCTTGTATCTTGGTGTTGTTGCTGTTGTTGTTGTTGTTGTTGTTGTTGTTGTTGTTGTTGTTGTTGTTGATTCTCATCTCTCGGGTATTCGTGTTTGTCTTCTTTTTCTTTTTCTTTTTCTTTCTGTGTGGTTTCTCTCTTTCTCTTGGTTCTTTTTTGTTTCTCTCTCTCTCTCTCTCTCTCTCTCTCTCTCTCTCTCTCTCTCTCTCTCTCTCTCTCACTCACTCTCTCCATCTATCTATCTATCTATCTCTATAAATCACGTATTCACTCATTCACTCACCCTCTATCCCTCTTTCTCTTTCTCTATCCACCCCTCACCCCCACCCTTCCCTCTCTTTCTCTTTCTCTTCAAACGTTTAATGCATTTCAGGAAATTATCGTCTAATATACCAGAAAGGTAAAGAACATCTTTTGTCGTTCAGCTTTTTTTGTTTTGTTTTGTTTTTTCTCCACTGTTTCCAAAGCGCAGACGAATATAAACAGGAGGATAAACATAGCGTTATGAAGCACCAGTCTCTAGATTTTCACTCACCGGGGGAAATAATGCCCGTAATTTTTATCATCATTCTATTTTGGGAAATGTGAAGATTAAAGGGATTTCGCCCTATTAATCATTGTAATGGTCTTGGCGGCCGTGGCAGTACCACTGTTTGATCATTATGGGTCAATCATGATAATTACTAATTGCAACCAAAGTTTGAAGAAAGAGTGACGGGTTGTTGATGCCTTGACACTTAAAAAGATCTATGTTATTTTCGGATTTAAGTGGTTGGGCTTAATTGGTAACAATTATACACGTATATTTCGAGAAATAGCATTACTGTCTGTTAATAAAAGAGGTTAGTGTTGTAACAGAAGCTGGGTATTTGCTCTGTGTGTTTGAGAGAGAGAGAGGGAGAGAGAAAGAGAGAGAGAGAGAGGGAGAGAGAGAGAGAGAGAGAGAGAGAGAGAGAGAGAGAGAGAGAGAGAGAGAGAGAGAGAGAGAGAGAGAGAGAGAGAGAGAGAAATAGAAAGAGAGAGTGAGTGAGTGCATATTGTGAGAGAGAGAAAGAGAGACTAAGTTAGTGCACATTGTGTGTGTGTGTGTGTGTATTTGTGTGCATGCAAGTGTTTCTATGCATGTATGTGCACGCTTATTGAAGGGTTTACGTATATATGTATGTGTGTACTTGCGTGTGCGAGTCTTTGCGTATCCATTTTTTACGAGGACCTTAATTTCCTCTTCAAAACCCTGAAGAGAAAATAATTAAAGGGAAATGGAAAGGAAAGAAAAATAGTGCATTTCAGCGAGCAGGTAGAGGCCTTTTCTTCAGAGACTCTGAATGGACTTTACATCTGTAATGCATGTCGTTGCTTCCCGTCTTCCCTGCCTTCCTTCTTACTCTTTTTTTCTCTTTCTCTCCCTTTCTTTCCTCTTTCTTTCCTTTTCTTTTCAGTTTCTCTCATTTTTTTTTCTTTTTCTCCTTTCCTTTTCTCTTTTTCTCCTTTTCTTTCCTCTTTCTCTCCTTTTCTTTTCGGTTTCTCTCATTTCTTTCTCTTTCTCTCCTTTTCTTTAGTCTTTCTCTCCTTTTCTTTCTCTTTCTCTTCTTTCCTTTCCTCTTTGTCTCCTTTCTCTTCTCTTTCTTTCCTTTTCTTTCCTCTTTCCCTCCTTTTCTTTTCCGTCTCTATCTTTTTTTTTTCTTTTTCTCCTTTCCTTTTCTCTTTCTCCTTTTCTCTTCTCTTTCCCTTCTTTTCGTTCCTCTTTCTCTTCCTTTTTTCTCTTTCTCTCTTTTTATTTTCTCATTCTCTCCTTTTCTCTTTCTCTCCTTTTCTTTCTCTTTCTCTTTTTTTCTTTTCTCTTTCTCTCCTTTTCTTTCTCTTTCTCTCCTTTTCTTTTCTCTTTTTCTTTCTTTCGCTCTCTCTTTCTGTCTGTCTAATGCATTATATGTATCTTCATGTACATATGTATATATATATATATATATATATATATATATATATATATATATATATATATATATATATATATATATATATATGTGTGTGTGTGTGTATGAGTGTAAGTGAATGTATGTAAGTGAATGAATCTGTATAAATATATGTATGTGTATGTATGTGTGTGTATGAGTGTGTATTTAGATAGATAGATGTATAGATAGATATATGCATATATATATATATATATATGCATATATATATATATATATATATATATATATATATATATATATATATGCATATATATATATATATACATATATATATATATATATATATATATATATATATATATATATATATATATATATATATATATATATGTATATATATATATGTATATATATATATATATATATATATATATATATATATATATATATATATATACATATACAAACAGGCACACAGACATAACTAAACACGAATAACAACAATGAAATAGAACGAAATAAAATAATCAACTGCAAGAAAACGAAAACTGGAATCCCCATTTTGAACTCAAGAGAATAAATGGCAGAATCTCTCGAGGGAAATCGTCTTTTATTTTTAATGGCCACTTTTAAAAGCTGCGAGAAAAAGGAATTAGGGAGTGAAGAAAGCGAGGAAAAGGTATTTGATTATTCTTTAATAGTGTTGTTGTCATTATCATTATCATAATTGTTATTGTTATGGATCATTACCTTTCTATTATTTCTAATGTTTTTTTTTATTATTATTATTATCATCTTCGTTATCACCATTATTATGTTATCATTATTATTAATATTATTATTATCATTATCATTAATATTATTATTATCATTATCATTAATATTATTATTATCATTATTATTAATATTGTTACGTTACTATTATCACTATTATCATTATCATCATTGTTATTATCGAAATCATTATTACTATCTTCCTATTATTATTATTTCATTGTTATTATTGTTATTAATATTTTTTTATTATTATTATTGTTATCATCATGACTGTTTTCACTGTTCTCACTATTATCATTATATTCATTATTATCATTATCAATATCATTATCCTTATTTTTATCACTAGTAGTAGTAGTATCATTACTGTTGTTGTTGTTATTATTATTATCATTATTATTATTATTATTATTATTATCATTATTATTATTATTACTATTATTGTTATTGTTATTGTTATTATCATTATTAATATTATTATTATCAATATCATCATTATCGTAACCATCAGCATAATCATAAAATACGCAACACACACAAATCAGAAGAAAAAAGTCTCCCCCCTACAAAGTGTTTTTTCTTTTCTTTCTTTCTTTCTTTCTTTCTTTCTTTCTTGCCCGCAAATGGCTTCACAAGAACCCAGCTTCTAGTCGACTAGAAGGCTCTATGTAACCTGATTTCTCCATTTCTTAATTTTTTTTTTGTTTTTGTTTTTTCCTGATGTTACTAATATCAATAACATTAAAGTTATTATAGACAAAATAAGAAATAAAAACTCCAAAAATCAAGGTAAAAAGTAAACAGGTAAGATGACTAGGCCTCGTAAATAACTCCTTGCTGACTAAGCACTTGTTGAGTGATCTACATTTAAAAATTGCATGAACTAAAGTCCCAGTGGATCTGGCATATGTCATGTCAATCTGGCACAAGAGGTTATAGATCCCAGATTTCAAAGTCGTACCTACCTGCAGGATGACACGCCAGAAGCAAGTGGGGAATTCAAAATATTATCGTTATCATTTATTTATTAACATTATATCAAACTTAACTTCATAACTGTAGGTTTATTTATAGCTTTACTTTATCTATCAGTAATACTATTTCTCTGCCCAGCTATCTATCAACCCGTTTTGCCCATTCTTTTCGTCTACCGAACTTTAAGTGTATTAAAAAAAAAAAAAAAAAAAAAAAAAAAAAAAAAAACTTGAGAATGAGAACTATTCATACGTGTGATTTCATTGTTTTTATATAATGTAATTCAGCAGCTGGATTATCATAATAATAAAAAAAATGTCAGGGAAAAGCGCAGAGAGTAAGAATTGATATTTGTTCTCTCTCTTTCTTCTGCTTCTTTCCCTTTCTCTCTATCTCTCTATCTATCTGTCTATCTATCTATCTGTCTGTCTATCTCTCTCTCTCTCTCTCTCTCTCTCTCTCTCTCTCTCTCTCTCTCTCTCTCTCTCTATCTATCTATCTATCTATCTATCTCCCTCTCTCTCTTTCAGACACAAACCGCCTATATTTGCAACAAATCACAACGAGTCCTAAGAATCAGCAGACCATCAAGGTATAAGAGTGTGATCCCCTTTGCCGGCTTTGGGAAACAGGGCAAAAATTTTCGAAACTTCACAACAGGAAACATACAGCTGCGCTTTGAGGATCAGGAGGGCGAAGTTATTTATATCAACTCTATATACACATTGAACTTTATATACATACAGATAGATAGACGGAGATATAAATACATATATATATATATATGTGTGTGTGTGTGTGTGTGTGTGTGTGTGTGTGTGTGTGTGTGTGTGTGTGTGTGTGTGTGTGTGTGTGTGTGTGTGTGTGTGTGTGTGTGTGTGTGTGTGTGTGTGTGTGTGTGTGTCTGTACATATATATATACAAATAAATATGTATGCATATATATATATATATATATATATATATATATATATATATATATATATATATATATATATATGTATATATATATATATATATATATATACATATACATATATATACACAAAGATATAGCCATATATGCATATATTCAGCATGTATATATGTACATGTGTCCACATGTATATTATGATACACATGCATTTTATGCGCCTTGTACATAGACTATGAACGTATTAAGCCCCTCAGGCCAAAACCCTTCTGTTATATTCAATGGCTCCTTCTCGAACCTCTGATCAGGTGAGTGCAGGTGGACGCAGAGAATTAGAGATTCTAGGTGAGTCCAGGCTATGACCTCCCTTCGAGCCATCTCACCTGGCCTTCATAAATCACTAAATCCTCTCCCTTGCTTATTGCATTCACAGGCCAGAACGCACGACGGACTTTGATAAATCACTGCACGGAAGGCTTGTATGATAGATGAAATGTCGAGGCAGGAAAAGGCGGAGTTTTGCTCGCGAGGAAATAATTTTTAAGGAGATTGACGACGTCCCTGAAATACGAAAGTCTCCCCTTGAATATTCTGAGCCCGCTTTCTTTGCAGGCGGATTTGTGTCAATATTTCATTTTCTTTTTAACGTTGCCAAGTGCTTATTATTTATCCGGGCGTGTTTGGTGTGTGTGTGTGTGTGTGTGTGTGTGTGTGTGTGTGTGTGTGTGTGTGTGTGTGTGTGTGTGTGTGTGTGTGTGTGTGTGTGTGTGTGTGTGTGTGTGTGTGTTTTGAGTGGGAAAAAATATGAATATAGTAATACAGAAATCCCTCCCCATTCGAGATTTTTTTTTTTTTTTTTTTTTACCAACCTGAGTATTTTCACTACAAATTATAAGGAGATAAGGAAAATAAGTAAGGATAAGGAGATAAGTAAATGCAGCTTACGGTGATCCACCAAAAATGAATTATCGTATATAAATAGCCGTTAAAGAGAGGAATGAAACTTAAGCCTTTATTCTTTACGTTAAAAAGATGGTCATCGCTTTAACAGGGAAGCAACTTGACTGTGACTTATATTTTATTCAAAACAAACAAAATCAAGCTGTTCTAAGTATATCGCATAAACATTCAATGACCAATCTATAATAACAGTAATAATAATAATAATGAAAATAAGGATGATAAAATAATTATAAAAATGATGATGATGATGATAACAATAATAATAATAATAATAATAATAATAATAATAATAATAATAATAATAATAATAATAATAATAATAATAACAATAATAGTAATAATAATAGTAATGATAATAACAACAACGGCAATAACAATAAAACTGTCAATGATAATGATAACAGTAACAACAATAATGGTCACCAGTAGACCACACTACTAACCATTTCATCTTTATCTAATTTTGGATCTTAATTTGACTCAATGATACGTGTCTAAAATGGGTCTGAATCATAAAATTAATCAACTTTGGTTTCAGCTGACTCTAGGAAATGACTATTAGCCAAATACAGCATCATCGGCCTCGTCCTCTCCCGATCGACCTGCGAAAGGCACTAACCTCGTATTCAGAGACACTTGGGACCA